GGGGGGAACCGGTGCCCCGGCTCCTTCCCCCCCTCGGCAGGGTTATCGCCGCGCAGAGCGGCCTCCTCTGCCCTGGCAAAAACAGCCCCGGTAATTAAAAACAAACAAAAAAAAGCGCTCTTTCTCTTGAGCGAGTTGCTTCTCTCCTCCGGACACGAAGAGCAGCATAAAGGTGCGCCTGAGCCTGCGGAGCTTCCTCTTTGGGTGGCGGTGAATCCGCGGCCCGGACGGCCGGGCGTCGGCGGGGCGGGAAGGGGCGCTCCGCCCCTCGCTGCCGCTTTGACGCGAACAAGCAGAAAGAAGCCCCTGCGCAACAGAGGCTTTTCCGTTAACAATACCTTTACGATAGGAACGAGCGGAGAAAAGGCCGGGAAACTGAGTCACCCGGGATCAGTGTCCGTAGTGGCAGTGCAACTTTGTGTAGGAGCCGCGTAGGGGATGACTGTGGGTGTCCTCGCAGCTGAGACTCCTGAAAGTCAAAACCCGAAACAACGGATGGCGTTTTCTAGGTTGGTTGCCTAGCAAAGCATGGGCTCAGTTGGGCGTATTTTCATCGCTTTGTGGGAGCGAGGGGGCTTTGGTCACTTAGGTAGTATAGCGTTTCATTAAACTACAAAAATTGTGTAAAGAGGGCTGCGTAGGGCTTAGTTTGTTTAGCGTTTTAAAATTGTCCAGACCACTTTTAAGCTTTGCTCCTATCTCGGCGTTCATAGTAGTTGTGGAATTCGTAAGGAAAGTGGCAAATATCAGGGAAAATGTATTTGTTTTAGAAGAAGCCAAAAAAGTTTTACACTTTTCTCAGCGGGCTTTTGCTGAAGCTATTGAATCATGAAGGTCGTAATAAATCAGATGTTCGTAGTATTTGTTATCTGAATTTCAGATTTTGAGGCTGATAGGTGTTAACAGTTTCTTAGAGTTGTAGTTCACTTTAAATATTATAACTAAGTTTTTGTGCTGGTGTATTCATATGAAGAAACAGCTACTTATTGCATGAAATAAGCTTTTTTTAAAGTATCCTGAAATGGTTATGTTATCCAGATTATGTTTGTAGGTTCAAAATAAATTTGGAAGTCATTTTTGCATAGCAAACTGGTGTATCTTTCTTACTCTGCAGTTACAATAGTTGGGATGCTACTGAAATTTGAGGCTGTAATTCTTTTTATCCTTGCTGTTGACAAGTCTTGGAAAACTTGCAAGAAATATGATAACAGTAACTGACTGTTAGCTTAGGTTTAGGGCAGCTTCAGAACTTCTCGATTCAGTGTTTTTCCACAGGGCAAGAAGGAGACTGTCATCTTAGTTTTGCTGCTGCAAACCAGACATGGCAGCTATTTAAGAAAAAAAAAAAAAAAGTGGATTGTCATTTTTCATACTGGAGCTGTTCCTGTTATGGCTTAGGGGAAACAATACCGCAGTTGGCATTTGGAAGACTGTAAGAAATTGTAAGGGCCAGAACCCTTGGCATAGTCCAAATTTTGCAAATATTTAAAGTTTGTTTGTTTTTTTTTTCTGTATTCTGTAATTGTGTGTAAAGTGTTTTGCTGTACAGTACTGGCAGATAACTTCTTAAGCGTTTCCTCCCTTTATCATCTTTATAATTTTCTACTTTTAAACTTCATTTTTTCAGATTTTTTGACTAGCCTCCTGTCACTACAGGAAGCAGGACTCCGCATTCCCTCTTCCTTGTCCCCTTCACAAAGGAAACGTGTTTCCTTTTTGTGCCTGACTAGGCTTCAGAATTGGCTTTCAAAATGCTGAAAGGGCTCATTTGGCCTTCCTGGAAACTTCTGTCCATCTTCTTTCTGAAATCATCAATCTTGGAATTCCTGGTATACTTTGTGTATGGTTTCTTTCTGCCTCTGCACAAGTTAGTGTGTAGCAGGGAGGAAAGAAGCTGATTTCGTTTGGATGGTCTTACTTTCTGGAGGTGTCTCTGTCTACCTAATGTCTGAACTGTTTCATATCTCCCTTATACTACTTTTACTTTGTCCGAAAAAAATCAATTCCAAACTCTATAAGGAAATAGTTTAAAAAAAGAAAAGCTATTTATAATTATGCCAGTATTTACTTAAGTTATGTGGTATTGGACACATTTCTTCTACAAGACAGATATTGAAAATAATACATTTTAAATGTTCTAGGCATGTCTGTCTCTTTCTCGTTTCAGGAACAAATTCTCTTATAAGTGGAGGATGGGATACATCTTCCTGGGGTTTAAATTCAAATACAGAACCACAGACTCAGCCGATATCTCCAACAGCAATCACCAAGCCAGTAAGGAGAACAGTAGTAGATGAATCTGAAAACTTCTTCAGTGCCTTTCTCTCTCCAACTGATGTTCAGAGCATACAGAAAAATCCAGTGGTTTCCAAACCTCCAGCCAAATCCCAGCGACCCAAAGAGGAGGTGAAAAGCACTTTGAAGGAATCTCTACACACCAGTCAGCTGGAAGTACCAGTGACAACAGAGGTGGAAGTGACAGATTCCTCTGTAGCTGACCTACAGAGGTTGAAAAACCCTGATATTCCCCAGGAGAAGTTAGAAGAGAATTCTGTGCTTGAATCTCATGCCAAGCCTGAAGAAAGCACAAATGAAGTTACTGACAAAAAGGTGTCTGCTCTGAATTTGAAGGTACCTGAAGAGGCTGTTAATGAAAAATCCAGTGGAGGGAGGGATGGAGCAGGAGGTGCACTGGCTAGCACTTCGCAATCGTTTAATGCAGGTACAAAAGACGTGGGTTTGGAAGCTAAGGAGCAAAAAACTGAGGACAGGCAAAGCAATACACCTTCACCTCCAATTAGCACTTTCTCCTCAGGGACATCCACAACTAGTGATATTGAAGTTTTAGACCATGAAAGTGTAATAAGTGAGAGCTCCGCAAGTTCAAGACAAGAAGCTGCAGACTCGAAATCCAGTCTTCATCTAATGCAGACGTCGTTTCAGCTTTTATCTACGTCTGCTTGTGCAGATTATAATCGTTTAGATGACTTTCAAAAACTGACTGAAAGCTGCGGCTCCTCTGATGCTTTTGAAAGAATTGATTCATTTAGTGTGCAATCTTTAGATAGCAGAAGTGTAAGTGAAATAAATTCAGATGATGAGTTATCAGGTAGGGCTTGTGCTTCAGCATCTGTCACTGTCATTCCTCCTGCACCAAAGACAGAAATGGTTGATCCCATGAAAAATAAATGTGAAGATGTGAATGACACTCCTATTTTACATGCTGAGGAAGCTGAGATGGAAGAGAGTGGGAGAAGCGCAACTCCTGTTAATTCTGAGCAGCCAGATGTTTTGCTTGCTACTGTGCCAGCTGATGAAGAACAGACTGTGAAAGAGGAGAGTCTGTTGCAGCAGGAAGCTGTTGAAAAACTGCTTGAAGAGGAGGCCGAAAAGCAAGAGCTTAAAAAGGTAACCGTAAAACATGTTATGCAAAAGCACCCCCTAGTTACTAATGAAGCTCCTCTCATCTCGTTAGGTATTAGCTTCACCTTGTTTGAGTGAGTTGATGCTGCATTAACTTACTTTGTTTAGAAAACAAACGGAACCTGTCCTTGGTGTTCTGCAGTGGAAGAACGCTCGAGTCCTAGTGAAAGCGTTCTGGGTTTCATGTAGGTACCGTTATCAGTACTTGTGAATTATGAGTACTGCTGGCAAACAGGTACTCTTGGTAAGAGTCAGATGTATCATTTTAATTATTTTGATGTCAGTTATTTTTTCTGGAGGAGACAGAGGCGATTCCTTGACATATTTTGTTCTAAATTATGGACCTTTAATATTTCAGCAGTAATCAAGATACGTATTTTGCAAGCCTTTTTTTCCCCATGGGCTTACAAATTATCAAAATTACATTGTGTTTTATATAATTTTGCTAATATTTTCTCTTCTTATGCATGCCTGCGTATACTAGTGGCTTTGTGATAGCTAGAATTTTAGGAGTCATATTTTGAAATTTTTTAATGAAATCATGCTAAACCCACTATTCATTACAGAGCAGTGTTCTTTGAGGGTACATGAAAAATAGTATTAGCTTAGTGCAACTAACTCCTCTTTTCTAGGTAAATTCATGTTTGTTATTAGCAGAAACCTTCCTTTGAAAGAGGAGGTATGTTATGCTTTTTAAGGAAGAGGGGAAGCATAGTGGTCGATAGTGAATAGATGAAATGAATTGTGAATGGTTAATTTAAATAGATGGAGTGGCTAGAAATATGGTGAGGGGTTGAATACTCAAGTGCGTGGAGAGCTACAGTGGAGCTATGAGGAAGTGTGATTTTTTTTTTTTTTCAGTGCTGCTTGTGTGTTGTGTGAACTACTTCTTTCCATCGCTTTCCTATCCCCCTTTTTTGTTTTTAAATTCTGAGCACCTGTGACATGCTTTGCTCTGTTTTCTGGGTTTTGTTTTGCTCATAATGTGTTTGTATAATATGTGACATAGCTGGGCCCTAATCTTAGCCTTGCCCTGTAGGCATATTTGCAATAGTGATGCTGTTACTGATAAGTAGCAGGGGAAAGCAGTTGGTTATGAGAGTTCATAAAACTCCTAAAATAATTTTTATTTTAAGGAAAGCATTTTTTTTGTAAGTTGTACAGAATGTCAGTGTAAATTCCTGAGGAAACTGCATGGTCATGAACTATTATACACAGACTTTCCTAACTTTGGAAATATTGATACTGGACCACCACAGATTTTATCCTTTGTTGGCTGCTAACGAGCTACGTGTTTACAGAATGCTTTGTATGTGTGTATTTGCATATTTGCTTTATTTCTCATAATTTGGTATTAAGAGATAACGTTGACTGATGCAAGTTAAGAGTTCCTGACCATGCCTGAAAGTTTGCTTTCCTCTCCTGTCGATGTTGTTCTGATCTGTGCTGACATTTCACAGAAGAGATCTTTTGCAATGTAAACTTTTTTTTTGACTCTATAAAGACTGGTATGAAGAACACAGTGGGAGTCTTAATGGTTAATGTTAACTATAGTTTTATAGGCTATGTTTAAAAAAACCTATTCATAATTGAATATAGCCATTGATATTTTTGTTGAGGAATTTAGCTGAGCCACGTGTGCTCGCTTAGTGGCGATTTTTGTTAAAACTCTAGAAAGAGATAAGTTATTTTCAGATATTGCTTAGTTCTAAGTTATTATGGCAGAAGCATGGTATGATTCACTGATTTTTACTTCACATCTCTAAAAACATGGAGAACTTCAGCTCTAAAATAGTGTCGGGAGGGAATGGTGGGGGGAAAGGGGGAGCCTCCATCTCTTGTGATTTAATTGTCTCATTCATCTGATCTTTATCTGTAAAAAAAAAAAACATCCAGGTGATTGATTCCTTGACGGAGAAACTGGAGAAGAGGGAAATACAATTATTAAGTACTAGTAAAGAAAAGGCACGCCTGGAAGAAGCTTATGATAACCTAAAAGAGTAAGTATGAAAATATAAACAGCGTTGGGTGTAGCTGTATTGGGCGTAACTCTAACTTTACTGTAAGAGAAACAGTAGAAAGTATGGAAAATCAAGTACTTATAACGAGAGCAAAGGTTGCAAATGGTGTGTGCTGTTTGGGAAAGGTAGAAGTAAAGGTTGCATGTGCCGTGATGGTTTTTTAATGACGTTATTTCTTGGGAGGTGAACCTCTTCTGGAAAGGCTGATGAGAGCTTTTACTTATTAAGCGGTAGGAACGAGAAGGTGCAGAGTCAGATTTGGATGTTAATAAAGATCTTTGTTATAAGCCTGGAAACGGTCTGTTAAGGGAGACTGACTTCTCAATTTGCTAAGTAATTTGCTGACAAAAGCAAGTCTTTACATTTTAATTGTAGTAGGTTCTGAAAGCGTGGTAGAAGGGCTGTTTGTAGGAAAAACCTGAGTTTGTGATTTAATTCAGTTGAAATTAAAAGGGAAAAATGAAAAGCTGGTTTTATCAGCTTGCCTATCAAATATTAGGTTTAAAAGTTTATAAATAATATGTGAAGATACTATTTAAGGACTAAATTGATCTTAACTTAAAAATACATATCCTCATTTGCCCTTGATATGATGTAGCCTGAGAGGTTAATTTGAAAGAACTTGATTAATGGGCAAAACATTTCTGGTAGATCTAGTATTTCCTTGTTTTCACTAGTAAATTACTGAATTAATGAAGAACTTTGATTCTGACTTTGAATATGGGCATGTTTTTTGACTTGTGGTTAAAGTGTGTAAAAATATAAACTTACTTCGAAAACATTTAAGACCACCTTTTACAAGCTGTTTGAAATGTCAGATAACCATGAAACTGTTCTGAAATGTTAATTTTAAATTAGTGAAATGTTTAGAATGAAAGAAGAGAACAGTAGCATTTCATCTCTTAAAGAGGAGTTTGCTCAGCGAATAGCAGATGCTGAAAAGAAGCTCCAGCTTGCATGCAAAGAAAGAGATACCGCTAAAAAGGTAATCAGATTTTCAGTGGAGTCAATGTTGATTTTAGATGAGAAATAAATTTCTTGAAGGAAAGCCATAAAAATTATGCTAGGGAAAGGCACGAGACTGACAGGTGCCATTTCATGGAATTGTAAACTAGCATAAGCTGATCTTGGCCTTCCAGGCTGCTTGTTACTTCCTTGTGTTGACACGTGTGTTCTTGCAGCCACATTGTGAACTGTATTAGGAAATTAGTGAAGTTAAAGGTAGTCAGTCGCTTGGAAAGGGGGGGGGGGAAACAAAGGTTTATCCTCTCATCTCATGTTACCTATTTCATTTTACCTTGTGTGTCCACAGATGTATTTGTTTTGGCTTGAGGGACAGGAATAGCTGGGGAACGGAGGGAGGTGGCAAAGAATGGAATGGCTTCTTTGGATGATTCACCAGTAGGAAAGATAAGGGCTGATGCAGGATTTGTTTGAAATGAGAAAAAGAACTCTGCAACAGCAAAGTTTGTGGAATTTAAATTTTTTTTTCCTGATATTAAGAGGAGCCTTTTGGGGTAGGGGGAAGAAGGAAAAGGTGATCAGTGTAATTTACTGTGCATTGATGTGTATATGTGTGTGTGTAAATAAGTGGTCCTAAATATTTTGTTCTATTATTTAGGAAGTAAAGAATGTTAAAGAAGAATTGGCTACTAGACTTAATTGTAATGAAACTGCTGAATTACTGAAAGAAAAAGATGAGCAAATCAAAGGATTAATGGAAGAAGGTGGGAATTAAAGATTTTTAATATAAAAAGTTTGTAGAATAACTTGAAAAGTACTGTCCTCACATATGAGCCTTCTTTCTGTTAGGAAAAATACATTATCTGAGGCATGTCAGATATGTCTAAACTTTTAAAATGTTTAATAGCATAAGACCGTTGGGAAGGATCAGTCAAATATAGATGGCTGGAGAGGTAGTTCCTGCAGCATTTATTAAAGATGCTGTAGTTAAAACCAGGATGCAGTACAGCTATGCATGCACCATTTAGGTGAAATTTGATCACCGCATTATTCGAGGTGTTTCTACAGTATCTCCCTTACTTCTTTTTAATTTTGGAAGTGAAATATATTTACTAAATGAAATGTCATAACATGCTTTTTCTCCTGTTATGGTGCACTAAGTTTTTTTCACTTTCAAAGCTTTTCACTGCCTACCCTGTCATAGTATAAGTTAGCGTAGTGAGGTCATGTCAAGATTAGCTAGATTCAAAACTTACATGAAAAAAATGTAAGCGTCAGTACTTTGATATACATTTCATTATTATTTTTGATGAGGCTGGGAAGCAGGGCAGGTGTGAATGGAATCAGTTCGTACGGTGATAGGCAGTACGCACTAACTTTATGTGCATTTTCTTCATAGGAGAAAAGCTTTCCAAACAGCAGTTGCACAATTCCAACATTATTAAGAAACTAAGAGCGAAGGAGAAAGAGAGAGAAAACACTAACACAAAACAGAACAAAAAGATTAAGGAACTGGAAGAGGAATTGCAGCATTTAAAACAGGTGAGAAATTATTTTTGAAAAGCCTTTTTAGATTAGCTGCAGGGTAGGCTTTTTGGAAGGTTTTAGATAGTATGACTTCTTGGAGACTTCTCAAATTCAGATTCTCGGAACCTTGGGATGTGATTTCGGGATGCATTCTCCCAGAGAGCAATTTCAAGGCAGTTTAGACTGATTTTTAGGTAACCTTACACCCAGCGTTGACTGAGCCAAACTAACAGCTTCCTCCCACTAGCGCTGCAGTCCCATCCCATTCC